CATTTGTCTTTTGTCCGAAGCATCTCAGGAACAAAACAATCTATGGCACAGACGTCTCTCACACTTGAATCTGCCTGCTATCTGTTCCCTCTCCTCAAAGAAGCTTATGAAAGGAATGCCTGTATTGAAGAGCTCACCCAATCACCACAGTTCTGCTTGCCATTTGGGAAAGATGAGGAGCGCATCACACAAGTCAAAACAATTTCCCTCCTCATCTCATCCCCTGGAGCTACTACATATGGATCTGTGCGGTCCGATGCGTGTTCAAAGCATCAACGGACGCAAATATACTTTGGTAATTGTGGATGACTACTCACGCTACACATGGACCAAGTTTTTGCGATCCAAGGACGAAACTCCAAATCTGATCATAACATTCATCAGGACAATACAGAGCTACCTGCAGCAGAACGTGAAAATAGTCAGAACTGACAATGGGACAAAGTTCAAGAACAAGGAGTTGGCCGATTTCTACGAAGCTCAGGGAATTACTCAACAATTCTCTGCAGCTAACACACCACAACAGAACGTACAACGGCCAAACACAAAGAAAAACCACAACGCCCCCGTGTCGGCCAAAAACATCAAGATCGCAGGAATCTACTCTCCTTCACTTCGTCTACATCTTAGCTCAAAGAGTGGGGGACTCCTGATGGAGTATATGGGTCTAGACCCCAGGACCCACATACTCAGAAGAATAAGAGGCACAACTGTCACTTAGTGGGGCCTCCGTCGGCCAGATGGCCCTCCATCGGCCAGAAAGATATCAACTCAGAACATGATCCAGAATCCAGGAGAACCGGGTGTCTCCGTCGGCCGAGTCTCTGTCAGCCGCGGCTCCATCGGCCAGACCTCCGTCGGCCACAGAGAGCTCACAGAACCGGATCTTTATACTTAGTCATTTTTACATACTTTGTACTCGGCCCAGTAGTGGCCCCATTGTAAATGGGCCTCCCAAACCCAAGACTTGGGAGTCCAGCCCGCATTTCCTCTATAAATACTCCCCTTGGGAGTAGTTGTAGGGGTTGAGAAATCATTTATTACAGCATATATTGCACTTCTCTCTCTAGCTCTCACTTCTTTCTAGAATATATACTCTTTCTAGAGTGTATTTTGAGAAATAATTTTAATAGGTATATATTATAATGTAGTTAATATTGATAACTGTGATGATATAAATTTATTATTTTTAATATTTAATGATTAATTTGTCACTTAATATTGTTAATTGTTTCCTAAAATGGAAATGGAAACCTTTATATGGGACGTCCAAAAAAAGAAAGTGGAAACCTTCTAATGGGACGAAGGGAGTACTTAGTAACTATTAGTGACTATAATAATATACTTTGTGCATCCACACTCTTTGGAATCATATTTGCCAGTTTATACACACTCTTATACACACCGTATGTGAGAAGACCTTTTTTCCGTGAACCTCGTGTGTTCACAGAGTATATAAAGACTTCCTATTTCTGACTCACTACTAAAACATACTCCATCCGTTTCAAATTGTTTGACACACTTTTCTTTTTTGGATGTTTCAAAATGAACACCACACTTCCTTATTTCTTTATTTGGTAAACAAATCTATATCAAAACAGTGCAAAACAGTGTCAAACAGTGTCAGAACAGTGTACTCTACGGTAAACCACACTCCCTCAGTAAATTTTTTCCTTAATCTTTGTGAAGTCAAACTGTGTCATCCAAATTGAAACGGAGGGAATAAAAGTTTCGGGGGCAAAATTAAAAAGACAATACTACTAAAAAATAAAAAATGGGGGAGGGGATCTGCCCCCTTGGCCCTTATTGTAAACCGCCCTTGTTGATCGAGAAGGTGGGAAAATGAAAAGAGGATGAAGATGGAAGAGGATGAAGATGCTGAATGGAGGGGCAGAAAATGGGAAAGGTGAATGAGATGAGAATGAGTATTTTGGTGTTAAACCAATGAACGGTCTAGGCAATATTGTCATTGGGCTGGAGAATAGTGAAAGGAAAATATATTGTTTTTATGTATAAGAAGATTCTTATAGACAAACGATTTTTTCAGTCAATTGGGGGCACTTCTACAATGTGCACATAACACACATCAATTTGTTGATATTGCTTCAATCTGTTAGTATTTTTAGTTTACTTAAAGTTCTAAAAACTAAGATCTAATACTAAAGCTATCAAATCTTTCATGACATAAGAAGTCATGATACTATTGCTTAGAGACATCATATTTTTGAGTAGTTTTTTAATATAGTTCAGTGTTTTCAACATTTTCGTTGCACATTCTTAGTTAAGTTTAATTTGTATATGATAAGTGAGGATCTCAATATGTATTGGAAGACAAAGTCCCAATAGGTCTATATCACTACCAAATTAATATAGTTCAATGTTTTCAACATTTTCCTATCAATAAGTGAGGATCCCAATAAGTCTCCTCAAATCAAATCGATAATAAATCAAATAAAGTGCCCACCATCTCCTCAATAATGATAGTGGAGTAGAGAATGTCCCCACTATATCATAACAAAAAAATGATATGTTAACAAAGTGGAGTATATTTTTCATTCAAAACGTAATTATTAAATAAAAGGTAATATTCAAATATTTAATTACAACATCATTCTTGCTTGATATGTTAATTAAATTTAGAATTATGATACATGTACTTAGATGAGTCACTTAAAATATGATACATGTATTTAGCAATGATAGGTTTTTTATCATAAAAGAACGATTGTTATATTAAAATCGAGAATACATACAAGACAACTTTTAGACAGAATTTACAGATCCAATCGTGAACCCTAGCAGTAGACTTAGAGTCATCCACCTCATACAAAGCAATATGACTCGCTAAATTTGAAACGCGCAAATTTAGGCCTAAAACGACCAGAACCAAAACCATGTCTATCAAAAGAACTCCAAAAATCCAAACATTCAAACCAAATCTACTCGGACTAAGACATAAACAATTGCTACTAAAGAGAAAATAATATTGAAATACAACTTTCCAGAAAGCTCTTCTTGGTATGGAGGTGGTTCCGAAGGAGGATGAACTCTTGCAATATGGGTGAATACCAACTCCACCACCGTCGAAATGGCCGACCAAGGCTTCACGATCCAGCCTCGATACAACCTCTCAGCTGCACGTCGTTCATCCGCCAACGCTATCTACTCTGACGTAATTGCATTCCCAAACGTTAGAACACTTAAAACCAGTATAATTTGCCGCTTCAAACCCATATTGATAGGGGCGACGAAAAATCTCAACTCTTACAAAGAGGGGAGACAGCCGCTAGGGTTCCTCTCTCTCTAGAGGGAAGAGAGAGTTCGATTATCGTATGTTTAAAAATATAACTATGATAGGTTAACACAATAAAATTAATGTTTAACGATCCAATTTTTTAAATTTTATGTAATTATGAAATAGATGGAAAGAGAAGAATAAGCGGATTACCCTTCATCTTTTTTATCTTTCTTATGTTTCCTATCCTCTTATCCTTTTATTTAATCTTATCTGTGTGTGTCCATATACATATAGAATATAGATCAAATACAAACCCTCCTTAATTTACAAGCTACAAACTCATCTTGACCGTCCAATGAGTTGATTGATCTAAAGGCTATAAAGGTACAATGACATATTTGTAATAAAAGCCTTTTTTAGGATGCAACTCTTTGAACCTTAATATGCAACTGCTATTTTATGGCTGAATAATATGCAAGACTTTGACCCTCAATATGCAATACAAATAACGTAAATATGCATCGAACAAACGTTTGCACAATAAGCACAATGTGTACCTGATCCGCCACACACACACACATTTATTTATATATTCTTTTCATCCTTTTTATATTATCATTGTTATATAATTTGTTATTTTTTACATCATACATTATCTTTTTATATTTCTTTTTCTTTTGGTTCTGATATCATGTATCAATTCATGTTAGGCAATTCCATTTTTTGGGACTATGACTTGGTTGTTGTTGTAATGATATTTGGATTGGAACAAGTAGAGACGAAGAGGGTGGGGAGGAGAAGATCGGAGCATGAAGAAGAGTAGAAAGAGGGAAGAGAGAAGGGGAAGGAGAAGTAATGTGAGGATGAAAGGGCGTTTATAGGGTAGTGTATACAAAAAATGTACAACTCTTGTGTACAAACGTCATTTTCCTTTTAAGGATTGACTCACACTTTTGCAGTTAACGTCATTTTCCTTTTAAGGATTGACTCACACTTTTGCATTTAGAGGCAATTCTCTCTACTCATTTATACACATTTTTCCCTTTTAGTTAGTCATCTTTGATTTTTTTTTCTAACTAATGATGCTAAATTTTGGTTGATAATTGATACTGAGTAATCAAGAAGGGAGTAAAAGTGCTTAATAGTAAAAGTTGTTAATGTTTGAAAAAAAATTGATTTTGAAAAGTTAAAATTGGTCGTGTTTAGTAAAATAACTGTTTTTTGTGTAATAGAAAAAGTAAAAAGCAGATCCTAGCTTTTAGCTTTTAAGTATTAATTTAAGTAAGGGGGTGTATTCATTTGGGACTTATTTAGACTTTTTAAGATGGGAAAAATAATAAAAATACCCTAAACTTTGAATGGGTGTGAGATAAATACCTCAAAATTGTATATGTAATTTAAATACCCCAAACTTTATATAAAAAGTTATTGTCGCACAATTATCAAGTATTATTTCTTTCAAAAATGTAAATTTTTTTGGTTAATAGCATAATTTAAAATAGCAAATTAAAAGTGTTGCAATTATATAGATTTGGGATTACATTTTTTATTTCGTAATGGAAATTTAGAATGTTAATTGTATCTTCATGAATTCTAAAATATATTAAATTATGTAATTAACACCGTAAACTTACATTTTAAAAAGAAATAATACATGAGTATGATGCTAAAATATCCTTTTATATAAAATTTGGGGTATTTAAATTATATATGCAAGTTTAGGGTGGATTTTTAAGTAAGACATTTATGGACTATTTACGTATTTGGGAATAAGGGTGAAGCTTCCTGCAAGGTATACGAAGACTGCAAAAAAGGGTGAAGCTTCCTGCAAGTTTGAGGCCATACCTGCAACTTACCAATTTTCATCAAAATGGAAGCTTTAGGGTGATCCAAAGCTTTATTTAAGGGATTCACCGAGTTTTGCCAACCACAACACAGAAGTTTGCGGCGACCTTTTTGCGGCGGAGTTAGGGATTCGTCCGGCTGGGGAAGAAATCGAAGCAAAGGCAAAATTATCCGGTGACTCCGACAACCTTTTAACTGCTGCAACACAAAAGTTTCCGATTGAGGGCATACATGGCAATGACCTTTCTCTTCCTTCCCGTCGATGGATTTCAAATCTCACCTAAGGGGATGAGACTTGAAAATGGGATTTGTCCTTGTATTTGGGTGTGTAAAGTCCAGATAAGTCCAAGTTGTAAATGAAAATCATGTTTTAGTCTTGACATGAATACACCAGCAGGACATTTTGGGATTTATAAAATGGCTTAATTAAATACACCCAGATTTGACAAATCTTAAAATGTTTTAAAATGTCTTGAATGAATACACCGTTTAAAAGTTATCATTTGAAAACACTTTTTTAATTTTTTTTTAACCCAAAAACCCGGAAACCTTTTCTTAAAAAAGTTTCCAAATGGTGGCTTAGTCATGAAATTGGAGGGAAGAACAGCCCCCCTACCATGTGCTTAACCACTATCTGGAAGATTCAAAAACACACACGCCCACATCTATCCTTGATGGAATGCTGCTCAAGTATGAAACAGCTCATGGAATTCCATGCTCATTTCATCACAAGCGGCCTCTCTACTCATCCCGCCGTTCTTAGCTCCCTCATATCCTTCACCTCACTTTCTCCCGCAGGGGATTTGGATTACGCCCGTTGTCTTCTCTCCCACATAAGGGAACCCAATTCTTTCTTGTTCAATACAGTCATAAGAGGGTATGCTTCAAGCTCCCACCCGGCCCCCGCTATCGTTCTCTACGATTCCATGCTCAGGTATGGTGTTCTTCCCAATAGTTACACCTTTCCTTTCGTAATCAAAGCCTTATCCAAGTGCGGTAGAGATTTCCTGTGCGTGGGTGAAACCATACACTGTTCTGTAATCAAATGCGGCCATGTTCCCGACCTTCATATAGCCAATTCGCTATTAAACATGTATGCGGGTTTCGGGTTGTCACGACTGGCACGCGAGCTGTTCGACGAGAGTTCCCAACCGGATGTGGTTTCTTGGAACGTCATGGTTGACGATCTTTGTCGAAACACTTGCTTCCGTGAGGTTATGCGTGCCTTCTTCACGATGTGTAAACATGGTGATACTCACCCTAATTCCGTCACGTTTCTCTCACTTGTCTCTTCTTGCACAAAGAAAAGTGATTTGCGTACTGGGAAAATCATACACTCCTACATAATAGTAACGATAGGGGTTAACATCAGCAAAAACCTTGGAAACGCGTTGCTTGACATGTACTGCAAGTTTGGCGATTTGGAGTCGGCTGAGAAGATATTCAATAAAGTGCAAGTGAGGACACTTTTTTCATGGACATCACTGCTAGATGGTTACCTGCTAAAGGGTCACCTCGAGAGGGCTGTTGAAATTTTTAATCATATGCCTGTAAAGGATACGACTGCCTGGAATGTCATGCTCTATGGCTTCATAGAGGCTGGTGAAATTAATTCAGCTGAAAAGATTTTCCGTGAAATGCCAGAAAAAGATTTAGTGTCCTGGAACAGTATGATTCTTGGATATGCCCATAACAACAATAAAAAAAACCAGGCTTTGCATTTGCTCAAAGAAATGTTGTGTATGGGTGTGAAGCTTGATAAGATCACTCTACTTGGTGTGTTTTCTGCTTGTGGGGGGTATACAGGGAAAGCACCTTTTCTCAGTGAAGTGATCCATTGTCATATGGAGAAACAGAACATAAAGGGAGAAGAAGTAGAGACTGCTTTGATGGATATGTATTCCAAGCACGGTGCTATCCAGAAGGCTATAAAAGTGTTTGAAACTATAGCGAGGAAGTCGGTGCTGGCTTGGACTGTCTTGATCCTGGGACTAGCTATGAACAGTCTTGCAAATGAAGCCCTTAGTTACTTCCACCAAATGTGTGAGGAGGGAGTAAAGCCGAATGGAGTCACGTTTTTAGGCGCTTTGTGCGCCTGCAGTCATGCAGGTTGGCTGGTTGTTTGTTTGTTAAAAGTAGCCCACACCTCTTATTCACTATTTAAGAACTGGGACTTTCTGGCCTTGTTATTTGGGTTTCAAAATTAAGACTCGTACTCAAACTCTTGCACATCGTTTGAAATTTGAAATGGTTGTAGGATCATCTAATCTAAGGCCAAGGCAAACAAATCCAATTACGTTATTTACATACCCCTATGAGTCAGACGTTTTCGCGGAAACCACAGCTAGGAAATATATGAATATTTTTTTGGCCTTTTAAAATTAGAGTAAAAGTTTTTAAATCGAAAAAACAAAGGCATCCAAAGTTGAAAGGTAATTTGACTAACATGGAATTAAAATGTTTAGTTACTATCCTCAATCAATAAGCCTCATCATCACCTGTGGGAGGGGTTTTGTTTACTCAAACAATGCCAAAGACATGCAGCATAACTCATTTAAATGGGTCCAAAGTGAATAATGTGTTAAGCTAGTGTTGGGTTCCCATTATTGTGTTTTGACTAGTATTCTCAATCGAAATTTAAATTTGGACAGGTCTTGTGGAAGAAGGCAAAGAGTTGTTCAGAGCTATGGTAGAGATCCATGGAATGACACCGAGTTCAGAGCATTGTGGTTGCATGGTGGATCTTTTTGGGCGAGCTGGTTTGCTGGAGGAGGCAGAGAAGTTCATTCAATATTTTCCACCTGCCATAGCTGATGATGCTTCTGGAAGTTGGGGAGCACTTTTTGGGGCTTGTAGAATGCACGGAGAGATAGGAATGGCAGAAAAAATTGCCAAAAAACTGATAGAAAGCGATCCATATCATTCAGGCAGATATGTTATTCTCTCCAATATCTATGCTTCTGAAAAGAGATGGTGTGATGCTGACAAGGTGAGGAGGAGGATGAAGGCTTCGGGTGTTCAGAAAATACCTGGGTTCAGCCTGATCGACCTCAAATCAGTTTCCTAATTTTATAAGGGTGGGAGTTATTGATTCTATCAGTGTCCGTTTGGAGTCGGGTAATAAATATTCATTCATCATCATCATTATCCCAATGCCGCAAAAGCACTGGTAATAAATACTTATAAGAAAAGAAAATAGGAAGCTCCTCCTTGGAAGGAGTAATTGGAAGGAAAGAAAATTCGAGGGAAAAAACACGAGTCAAATTTGAGTAGTAAAGGTTTAGATTTATTTGTTCAAGCTCTTTCTATTACTAAAATATATAAATATCTGTGAAATAAATAATGATCAGTTCTGTTACATATATTTAAGAGTCGTAGTGCTTATTTAGTTTTGTGCATAAAAAATAAATTGAACACTAAACAAATATCTGCAATAAATTTGTTGTGTGATAACATGTCTTTGTTTTTATCCACACTTACTTTTTCTTGTGCTATTTTTTGCTTTTCATTAATTCTTTCCCAATCCCTACTAGAGTAGTTTCTTGATGCAAAATAGGACCCTTAAAGATTTTGCAAACCTTTCTTTGTAGTGTCATTGTAAGTTGTAACTGAGTTTTTTTGTCAATAATGGGGATACCAATTTCACTCATAAACATGAGTATTGAAACAACCTGATCCGAACATGTTAATGAAAATCTGAAAATTTCGAATGATAATCGAATAACGTGTGGATGAGATGACATGGCAGATAGGATATGAAGGAAAACCATACATCCATCCATCCACCTGTGACTCCATGAGCATTACTTTGTTACATAATTATTTATATCAATTCAAAGCTGAGAACACTAATACTTCTAATGTTTGTGGAACTTAAATCCCAATGTTTGTTTCAATGATTCACGAACGGATGGGAATATAAAAAATTGGTGGGTGAATGCAAGTCAACCCCTCCCAGTCCTACTTATTAATAAAAATATATTCGACAATAAGTTTAAAAAACTTAGCGGAATAGACATTTGACTGAACGAAAAAGGTAATCCATCGAGACTTGATGATCAATTTCTTCCCATGAGTTGTTCATTGTTAACAGTTTAATTGCTATTCATTGTTCATTGTTAACTGTTCGCTTTCCAGTTCTTATAAAAAATTGTTCATGAAATTGTTGAGGAACGGTTACTAAAAACTAATTACAGTAATAACAGTAGTAGTAGCATTAGTAGTAGTAATCATAATAACACAACGGAGGAGGAGGATGATCATAATAACAATAACAATAACAGCAACTAACAATAACATTCACAATAACAATATAGAGGCATATTATCCCAGCCTAGGGATGGACTCGGGTCCGAGCCGGGTCCGGGTCAGACCTAGGACCGGGCGGGCCGGCGGTTCAGAAGTGGTGAGCCCGGGACCGGCCCAGGTAACCACCGGGTCCGGGCCGGGCCCATTATCAATTTTTTTTTCCTCTTCCTAATTAACCCCTCTCCCACCCCCAACCCCCCAAACCACCCCAAATGGCCCAAAATACCCAGCCCAACCCGAAAATTGAAAAAAAAATTGAAAAAAAAATAGTTTTGGCCCGAACCGGGCCCGGGCCCGGCCAGGTCAGGCCTTGTTTTGGGTGACTCGATCCCGGACCAGAAAACCCACGGGCCGGGCCTACCCGGACCGGTCACTGACCGGGCCACCAGGTCGGGCCGGGCCGGAACAGTGCCGGTTCCAGGTCGGGCCATCCGGTCCGAGTCCATCCATATCCCAGCCTACTACTACTGTTTAGAGACCCAAGGTATTAACCAGTATGGAACCCGATCAATGAGACTCATTTCGGCCCATCCAACCCATTTGGCCCATCCTATTCTATTTCCATTAATGGGATACTTCATGGTCACATCAAAGGAAAAAGGGGGCTTCGGCAAGGTGACCCCATGTCACCCCTCCTCTTTGTTGTTTGCCTTGAATATTTTTCTAGACTCCTTCATATGAGAACCAAAGTCTCTTCGTTTAAGTTCCACCCTTAGTGTGGTAAACTTAATATTTCCCATGTTGCTTATGCTGATGATCTCATGCTCTTTTCTAGAGGGGATTACCCCTCTATTAAAGTTCTCATTGATGCACTTGAGGAGTTTGGGACTGTTTCTGGACTCAAAGTTAATTTTGATAAGTCTAACATTTTCCTTGGAGGTCTTGCTGATCATGACCTTACACATATCCTTGACTTAATTGATTTCAAAGAGGAGAGTTTCCCTGTTAGATACCTGGGCATCCCCCTAGCGCCGCTTAAGATTGCGGTGGCACAATATTCTCCACTTTTGGAGTCTATTACTAACTTTATTACTGCCTGGAACACCAAGTCTCTTTCCTATGCTGGGAGAGTTGAGCTCATTAAATCTGTTATTCAGGGTGTTCACTCGTTCTGGCTTCAAGCTCTCCCTATCCCGAAGGTTGTCTTGGATAGAATCACTTCTATTTGCCGTATTTTCCTTTGGGGTTGCAAATATGCTAGAGTGGCGTGGGCTGATATTTGCCTTCCTAAAGAGGAAGGTGGGCTTGGTATTCATGACACCCATGTTTGGAACTCGGCTCTTTTAGCTAAGACCCTTTGGGATATACATATTAAAAAAGATAACCTGTGGGTTAGATGGATACATGGTGTTTATCTGAATGGTAGAGGTGTTTGGGAGTTTACACCTCATAAAAGAGACTCCCAACTGATCAAAAAGATTGCCCGGATTCGTGATCAGATTTTGAGTCATTTTGCTAGTACTCATGACGCGGTTACTTTTCTTAATGGTTGCCAAAATAATGGCAAGCTGTCCTCGGCCAAAGTCTATAATCTCCTTAGAATGAAGGGGGGTACTCATATGTGGATGTCTTTCATTTGGAAGAACTACATCCCCCCTAAGTTCTCATTTACTGTGTGGTTGGCTTTCCGTAACCGACTTGCCACTTTTGACAACTTGCATAGGTTGGATGTGGTTAACATTTGCCCTTTTTGTAAGGGTGGTCCGGAAACGGTACCACACCTATTTTTTGCTTGTTCTTTTGCAGGTAATGTCTGGCATAAAGTGAGGACATGGCTGGATATCCCAAGGGAGATGGGGACCTTACATAGCGCCATGAAGTGGATCAAGAGGAAAAGGCAAGGAGCGGGAGTTAAAGCTAAAGCTGCTAGGATTGCTTTCTGTTTTTCCATCTATTGGATTTGGAGAACTAGGAATGCTACCTGTTTTGATGGTCTTGTTCCCAAAGAAGATGATGTTTTTGCTAAGATTCAGCATATTGTTTATAAATTGTTGTATAAGCTCTACCCTTATGAACTTGTCCACATTTGATGTTTTTTGACCATCACGTTTTTTTGTGATTGGACCTTGTAAGCTGCAGGTTCTTTTGGTTGGTTTGGGGCCTCACCCTCCTGTTTTTGGGTGTTGGCCGTGGGGGTTTTTTGCTGATTGGTTGAGGTTATCCTTGTTGGATAATCTTGCATTTTTGTCCCCTTTTTACTTGTATATTCTTCCCCCCCTCTTCTCTTGGGTGTGTTATTAATATACTTACCGTTCACCCAAAAAAAAAAAGGAATGGCTCTTTAGATCCTTCTTCCTCCCTACTCATCCTCTCTTTAGAATAGCTTGAATACCCCATTAATGAGAGCTTGTATTATGTAACAATTGTGAGGAGAGTATTAATGAGAAAGAAAGTGACTTGGACTAAACTCAACAAATAATAATAATAATAATAATAATAATAATAATAATAATTAATCATCATCGCAATAACAATAAAAAAGAAGATACAATCAATGAGGGAAACAGCAGTCAGTCCATGCAATTTTGGACGGGATTTTCACTATGGGTCATCCGGAAACAGTCTCTCTGTGCTTTAGTACAGGAGTAAGGCTGCGTACATCCGACCCCCCCTTACCCCACCGTAGGTGGGAGCCTTTGCGGCACTGGGGTAAATGAAAATGAAAAAAAAAATGAAAAATCAATGAGGGAAACATGACTAATTAGTAATTTATCGCATAAGGCCAAGATAAGATACACTTGTATATCTGGATTTAAGGCCAAACAAAAGTGAATTCTTTTCACTTGTATTATAGTTGCATATGCATACACGTGAGCACGAGCACAAAAAAGGAAATCATAAGGTGATATTTTTGAAATTAGAAAGTACTCCGTATTATAAAGCAGAGGCCTTTTATATGTGTGCACAAACTTAAATTTACGTTCCAACAGCTATAGATGACTACCCACAGTTTTTGCAGAACTCCAGTATTTGGAAATAGAGACTGATGCAATCTATACACGGTTATAGTACACACACTAGTACAGTTATTCTGCAAATGCACATCATTAATTAAATCTTTAACGAAGAGAGCAGAGATACACCAAACTCAAACTGTGTTTCACCTTATGGATTAACCATCCATCCAATCTCTCACGAAGTCCTGCAAAAGAAAATGACTTTTACATGCCAATGAGAAGACAAGGGTAATTGATCAGGATTGCACGAACTACTAGAGACTGCTGCTATGACCCCAAAACCCCTATATGATGCAGAGGCATAAGAAACATATTTACAGCAACAATAGCGGAAATATTTTTTTATAGAGTTTCTTTGGGTACGTTATGGAATAGTCCATTGCACTAATTGTTCTTATGGGCTTGTTCCCTTCTTTTGAGGCTTAAAACACAACCTGCTTGGTTTCGGGGAAATTAGAGACATAAACAGGTGAGAAAAAGATGGAGAGGAGAGAAATAGTGTACATTTACGTGTTTCTTTGGTACGAGTGAAATGGAGAAGTTTGAAAAAACTTAGGAGTTCATATCATACTCCTCTTGAAGAAGAAGATCAAGAAATAAAGAGGATCCACCATTTTCATTTCTCACCTTATTCCTTTTTTCACCAAGCAATAAAAACTCTACATCAATCTCCCTATTTATTTCCCCTCTATTTTTTCCTATCCTTTTCTCTCCTTACCAAACGACAGCTATATTCATAATTGCCATCATATGCGAGCACAAATTAGACCCGATACTTAAGAGCAATTCAAGCTCCAATAAAAGCAAGCTTCAAGTTTCAACACGCCAATTAAATTGACATTGTAATTGAAAGGGAACAAGAAATGACCTTTTTTAAAGAGCCATCTCAGCCTGCAAAGCAGCAATTTCATCTTCCTCGGCAGTGTTCTTGCGGAGAGGACGATGTTCCGGTTGCCTACCACTAGCTGCTTGTGCATGAATTGGTGCAGCAGGTGCGGTTGTAGCAGGTTGAAGAAGTTGTCCCTCCAACTCAGCTTCTTCTAGCTCCTCAAGTTCTGCCTCCAATTCATCCTGATTAGTGATTACGCATTCTTAGATGTTCTCCACACTCAAGCATAAATACATTGATACATACACACACATACATGCAAACATGCATACACATTTATATGGGAATTGAAATACCTATGGCAGATCTTCCCAATGGCTACATTCAGCAAGATTTAGTAATTAACAAAGCATCTACGATTTGCATGCTTTTACTTTTTAATTGTGAAGCATATGAGCCGTTAAAAGTGATCCAACAGCCATCATCACAAAGATCATCACAAACACCTTTTAGGGATATTTCTCTACACACACCCATATATGTTCAAATACAAAAGTGCCTTCTTCCGTAAAACTGGGGACAAATATTCAGGAACAAAATGTCATGACGTTTTAGTAAATATTTCAAAGTATATCATGCATAAAGTGAATCATTATTATTCACATAAAGGTGCACCTTGTCTAAATGAAATATGCAAAGCTGAAAGAGTGTGGTGGCAATTCGTAAATACAGCTAGCACACTCGGGTATATAACGGTGCACATTAATTGTAAAATTTACACATTAAACTTCTAGACAATTAAAATTATGCCATCACGTTTTAATTGAAATATAGATTTAGTCCACCGTACCACCCAATTTAAAGTGATAAGAGACAGGTTTATTCTCATATTTCATGAGAAGACTGTTTTTACTTCTACCCCCCCCCCCCCCCCCCCCACACACACGACCTAGAGGTGACAAAATGAATACCTCATCAAAATCAGCTGCTGCTCCAAGTGGAGCAGACAGCGCTTCCTGAATCTGTTTCATATTCTCAGTCTGCTCATTAATCTCATCCATTGTTTTGTCCACATCATCAATATTCCTGAGCCACAGAGGTCATAGTACAACAATGTTACAAATTCACAATACACATTAAATTTTCCAATATGAGAATCTCAAACTTGATTCAAAGATTGATGCTGATACATTATACAATCTGACCTGTGTCCCTTAGGGCGTGTTTGGATGGAGGTATTTGGGGGGGGGGGGGGGGGGGGGGGGGATGCTCACCTCCTCTCATTTGGTTGAAGAAATTTTTGTGGAGGCAAAGTTCACCATCCACCTCTAGTCCCCTAATAATCCTCTCTATATAACTCTTTTTAAGGGCATTAAAAACTCATCAAGAACCCCTTCCCTAATCCCTATCCCTCCAGAAAAATAAAACAAAATACACTCCTTCCCCCTTACCTTGAACCAAACACACCAATAGTCCCTTACACTTCAATAATGATAATCCTAAACAAGCTAATTACACACAACAACAACAACACCACCAACAACAACCCAGCCTCATTTCCAAAAGATTTTGGGTCTGCTAACATGAATCGATCCATGACAACCCAGCCTCATTTCCAAGAAAGATCCATGCCGTTTGTTATCCATAAAACTCTCTCTCCCCTTCCCCCGCCTGGCGGGGGGGGGGGGGGGGGGGATACGGTATATACTATTTTAGGTTAGCTTGCTAGCTTAGATAGTTATTTTTTATCTTTTTGATGCATTGTACTTATGCTATTTTCTGGATATATATACTTACATTTTATCCAAAAAAAAAAGAGAAGAAAGATAAAAAAATAAAAAATAAGGTAAGATAAAATGGATAAAATAAAAATAAATATAAGATAAAAATAACATAAGAACATAAGATTCACACGCTAGTTACACAAGGTAAAAAAATCAATCACCACAAATATCTCAAACATGCACTAATTTGATTGGATATTGTGGCAAAACGTTTCCACATGCTTTAATGTCTGGATTATGGTTGTAAATAAAGGGTTCCACGCTTCCACATGCTTTAATTTAATTAAATTACATTGGAGGGAAAGATTTATGAATGCTGTAATATCAAGCCAACAAAATGAGAGTGAGCATGGGGTGGCAAAAAACTGTGTTGCAAAAATAACTCACGTTGCCTTCTGCATGGCTTTCATAGTAGCAGCTCCAGTTCTCAAAGCATCAACAGTTTCTGTTGTGGCTTTAGCGCCTTCTAGCATTATCATCTAAAATTCGAACCCAAAGAGTTCTTCAATAGTTATTCAAGAAATGTATGCATAAGAAACATAGATCTGTGACATATGAAACACACCTGATCATGGATACGCAATTGGAAGTTCCCAAGTTGTTCAATTTGTTGTTCGTAAAGCCTTTTCCTCTTAAGACATTGAATCGCAGCTGCAAAAGGAATTAAGATCGCAAATTCATCCTAAATGAAATCAAAGACACTAGACATCTACAAACAATGAGGATTCACATATACGAAAAAGCATTCAACTAAGATAGTGAAATTTACGGTACCCCCAACCAAGAGAGTGACTGAGAAAGGAACAACTTCCTTATAGGGTTAATTTATAAACATTTAGCATGCAGGCACAATTTTATATACGTATTATATCACAATGATTGAATGGGTAATAAGGCTTAATAGAAATGAAGCAAGGTAGAAGCAGAAATGAAATCATCTTACTTAGAATCAGATGTTACAGAGTATTTATACAGGAAGTAGTCATAGCTAACATAACCGAAGCCTAACAGAAAGCAGTTACATTGCTTTACAAAGAAATACACGTGTAGTTTTCCTACACTATTCCTAACATTCCCCCCTCAAACTGAGGGTGATTGAGTTGGAAAGTCAATCACACTGAGTTTGTTTCTGAACTCAAGAAAGGTGGAAGCAGATAGAGGCTTGGTCAACACATCTGCAATTTGCTGGGAGGCTGGAATGTGAAACACTTCAAGCTGTTTTAGTTGGACTTTCTCTCGTACAAAGAAAAGATCAATTTCCATGTGTTTTATACGAGTATGCAGAACATGATTGTGAGCTAGTTGCACTGTACTAAGGTTGTCACAGTAGATTCTGGGAAGAGTGAAAGGAGCTTGAAGTTCTTTGAGTAGGAATTGGACCCATAAAATTTCTGATGTAGTATCTGCTAGGCTTCTATATTCAGCTTCTGCTGAAGATCTGGCTACCCTTAGTTGCTTTCTGGACCACCAAGAAATAATATTAGGGCCTAGAAAAATGCATGACCCAGATGTAGACTTCCTGTCTGTAGGATCTGATGCCCAATCAGCATCACAAAAGGCTGTGATAGGTAGAGGTGTTTTTGTCAAAGGAAGAGGTTTGATCAGTAATCCATGAGTGATGGTTCCAGAAAGATATCTCAGGATATGCTTCACAGCTTTCCAATGTTCTTGTAAGGGATTGGCCATAAACTGACACACTTTATTTACAGCATAGCTGAGTTCAGGTCTGGTTAAGGTAGCATACTGTAGAGTTCCAACAACAGATCTGTAATGAGAAGGATCGGGAAGAGAATCATTCCCTTCACTGGTAAGCTTACAGGTACTCACCATGGGTGTTTTCACACCCTTGGAATCAGCCATTCCAACTTTGTGAAGAAGATCTCTAATGTACTTGGTTTGGGAAAGATGCAAACAACCATCAGATAATTTCCTGACTTGGATGCCCAGAAAGAAATCTATGTCCCCCAGATGTTTGAGAGAGAAAGAAGAATGTAAGGCTTGAATGATTTGTTGTATGATAGTGGAGTTATTGCCAATGACCAGAATATCATCAACATAGATTAGGATGTAGATTTGGATTCCAGTCTTGAGGTAGATAAGAAGAGAAGGATCACTTTTGCTTTGTTTGAAACCAGCATTATACAGAACTGAAGTGAGCTTGTGAAACCAAGCTCTTGGAGCTTGTTTTAGACCATACAAGGATTTATGGAGTCTGCAAACAAGGGAGGTGTCCTTAGCTTGAAAACCAGGGGGTTGAGACATGTAGACCTCCTCCTCAAGGTCCCCATTTAGGAAAGCATTGTTGATATCAAGCTGTTGTATAGACCAGCGATGAGAGACAGTCAATGTGAGAAGAATTCTGATAGTGACAGGTTTAACTACTGGAGAAAAAGTTTCTCCAAAGTCAAAACCAAACCTTTGATGAAAACCTTTGGCAACTAACCTTGCTTTGAACTTATTCACAGAACCATCAGGATTTTCTTTGACTCTGAATACCCATTTGCAACCAATAACCTGCTTGCCTGGAGGAAGAGACACTAAAGTCCAAGTATTGTTAGCAATCAGGGCATTGTATTCAGATTTCATTGCTGCAAGCCAAGGTGGAGAAGAGAGAGCTTGCTTCACTGATTTAGGCTCTATATGAGCTAACAGTAAGGTGGGATTAAGTCTAGGTTTTACAATCCCAGATTTGGATCTGGTTTGCATGGGATGATTGTTGTGAGGAGGACTTGGAGGTGGAGGAGGATTAGAATCAGATGATGAGGAGTGAGAGTGGGCAGTGTTATGGTTAAATGAATTAGAAGGAGTTGACTCAGATTGGGAGGATTGTTGATGAGGAATTTGATGATCAGTGTTAAACTGAGATGTATTGGATGAAGATGTAGGAGTAGATGAAGGACTAGAAGAAGGATTTGAACTGTTGGAATTGGATGTAGGAGTGGCACCCTTGTCAGAGTGGAATGAAGATGAATGAGAAGGAGAGTGAATTGCTATTGGGGCTGATAAGGAAACTGGGACACTTGAAGATAAACTGGATGGGGATTGAAAAAGAGTAGTGTAAGGAAATTTGGTTTCATCAAATATAACATCCCTGGAAAGATAAACTCTGCCACAGGGAGAGAGACATTTATAGCCTTTGTGATGACAAGAGTATCCCAGAAAAACACATTCCTTGGAATGGTAATCCATTTTATGTTTGTTGTAAGGCCTAATGAAAGGATAGCAGGAGCAACCAAAAACTTTGAGAAAGGTATACTCAGGAATAGTATACATAAAGTTTGAAATGTGGGCTGAGATTTGCAATAGATTTTGATGGAAGTTTGTTGATAAGATGTACAGCAGTGGCAAAGGCAGTGTCCCAGAATTTGAAAGGCAAAGAACAATGTGCAAGGAGACATAGACCTTTCTCAACAATGGTGCGATGTTTCCTTTCAACAACACCATTTTGATGGTGTGTATGAGGACAGATGACTCTATGATTAATACCTTTTTCAATGAGAAACTTTGTGAATGATCTGAATTCTCCTCCCCAATCAGATTGGATTGACTTAATGGAGATGTTAAACTGATTTAGGATGTATTGATGGAAGTTTTGAAAGGCTAAGAATGCATCTGATTTCTTTTTGAGAAAGTAGATCCAGGTATATTTGGTGAATGCATCAATGAAGGATATATAGTAAGTGTAGCCATCAAAGGACTGAATAGGAGCTGGCCCCCATAAGTCAGTATAAATCAGTTCAAAAGGAGAATGAAAAACAGTTGTAGATGGGTAAGAGGGTAGTCTGTGAGCTTTACCCAAACAACATGCAGAACAAAAGTCAACAGCATTTTTATTGATATATGGAATATTACATAGATTCAGTACAGACTTAAGGGCCTCAAAATGAGGATGACCTAGCCTTAAATGCCAAATATTACAACTGGAGGTTGATTGAGAGTTATTACAAGTAGATACAAGAGAACTAGGAAACACAGATGTATGGGGATGAAACTTGGACAGATTTGAAGTAGAGTTGTGAGACCCAAGAGCTGGAAAGGATTGAAACTTGTAAAGACCATCTTCACCAAGTATTCCATACAGCAGAACCTGTTTAGAAACTTGGGATTTAACAAAACATTCACGAGGATGAAATTCAAAAAATGCATTGTTATCCTTGGCAAATTGGCTGACACTTAATAGATTTTTGGTAATAGCAGGAACATGTAAGATGTTGTTGAGAGATAAAGAAAGAGATGATTGATAGGGTGAGGGAAAGGATGAAAAACCAATAGACTTAATTTCCAAACCTTGACCATTGCCCATAAACAGCTTATCAGTGGTAGCAATTGGTAGCAATTGGCTCACTGTGTTGGAGATTGAGGGGATCAGCAGTAACATGGTGTGTAGCTCCAGAGTCTGGGAACCAGTTCTGAGAATTTGGGGGTGGTCCTAGTATAGAAGAGTTTGCACAAGCCCAGGCTGCAGTTGGCACAGTAGGGGATGAATTGAGTTGTGAGAGATGATTACCTTGCTGTGGATAGGGATAAGGTGGTTGGTTGGGTGAGTATCTTGCTATATTTGGAGGAAGCAGTTGGTATTGATTTGAGTAGAGATGTGAAGGTGGTTGTTGGTATTGATTTGGTTCGTACTGAGGCTGGTGAAATTGATTTGAGTGAGAATATGAAGATGAAGGTTGTTGCATAGGACGAGAAAGCTGTTGTTGCATATGAAAAGGATTGGTAACAGTATAGGCTGGATTGTATCTGTGGTAACAAACGAGTGCACTGTGACCATTTTTCCCACAAACTTGACAAGTAACTGAGCTTCTACCTCCTGAACGACCACCTCTGCCCCTATTGAAACCTCCACGACCTCTACCTCTGTAGGAGGAGTTGATATTCGAGGTGTCAAACTGAGCAGAAGTATCAAACTGAGCAACTTGAGCTGAAGCATTTTCTGAATTGTCCTGAGCTTCGGTTTCAGTATTTTGAGAGGAAGATTCAAGTCGAGCAACATTAGCAGCAAATATTGTTTGTTGCGAGGACTCACGAAGTTTCTTCAGTCGTAATTCTTTTGCTAGCAGAAGACCTTCAAGTTCAGATAAGGTAACAGGATCTAAGATGCTTCGCGAGGACACAGATGATATAAGTGACTCGTAATCCTCAGGAAGACCTTCAAGGATCACATTGATGTGATCCTTGGTTGATATAGGCTTGCCGACAGAAGTTAGGTTATCAACAATTGTTTGAATACGAAGCAAGTATTCAGAAATAGAACGATCACCTTTCCCGGTGTTATACAATTCCGATTTCAGTTGACGAGCTCGCGCGATGATACTGGAGCGGAAGAAATTCTGAATTTCACTCCATAGCTCATGCGAATGCTTGCAGCAGATGACACGAGCATGAAGTGATTCTGAAAGCGAAGCTAAGAGCCACGAAAACAGCATTTGATCTTGTTGCTCCCAGGTGTTGTATGCTTCGTTAGCTGTTTTCGCTCCATTTTCATCAACTGAAAAACGATCTGGTATCTGAGGATTTTCTATGAATTTGAGAAGTTTATGAGCTCGGATTACTGATTCAACATGATGGCGCCAAAACAGAAAATTGTTTGAATCGAGTTTAATAGGTAGAGGATGATGAAAAATAATAGGCGAAGATTGATTAGGAATGTGAGAAGATGATTGCGAAGAAGAAGATGAATCAGACGCAGAGTTCGTCATGGTTAGATCGAGCAATGCTCTGATACCATAATAGAAATGAAGCAAGGTAGAAGCAGAAATGAAATCATCTTACTTAGAATCAGATGTTACAGAGTATTTATACAGGAAGTAGTCATAGCTAACATAACCGAAGCCTAACAGAAAGCAGTTACATTGCTTTACAAAGAAATACACGTGTAGTTTTCCTACACTATTCCTAACAAGGCTTCACTAAGATGCTGCTAATAGCTTCCACCTCAAAATCCTCAAATGCATCACCAAATATAAAAAAAAACAAAGTAAAGAGCATCTAAGACCATACTATTCAGATCAAAAGTATGCTACAGCAACAACAAATAAGAAAGCCATTGAGAAAAAAACAGATCTCGATGAGTAGATAAACACAAAGCATACCCCTTCTATTTTTAGCTTTAGTGAAGTCCTTGGCCTTCTCAACTTCAGCTAAAGCTTTCTTCTGTAGAACCTTCTCCTTTTTCTCTAACATGTCAAGCGTCTGCTCAGCACAGTCAAGTTAAGTTTAAAAATGAAGATAAGCCCGCTAAAGCTTTAAGAGAAGAAGAAATGGCGACTCACATAACTAATATGCTAATAGGTTGACAAATGAAATTCTCTTGGTTGGAAAGCACTTAAAATTCCTAACCTGACAAAATATACTAGAGATCTCCATAACTAATAGGTCATTGGAGTATTGGAGTAAAAAACATGCATTTCTATTTAAATAGAGATGAATGGAAGAAAGGAACCATCTTAAACAATAACACACAATTGGTGTTTAGAATCCATAGTATAGAACAATCCATTCCTTGAGTAGAGGTTTACACGAAGTAAGCTTTCAAAAAAATAACTCTCTAGTCTACATTTTCCTGAAATCAAGTAAGGGCGTCCACTTTCTTTAGAGGTCACTGAACAAAAAAATAAGCTACAATAATTTGATTCAAATGATCCAGAATGCCAAAAATATTATGGAGTATATGTTTGTGTTAAAGATGAACCTTCCATCCCATCAATCCAGGAATGGAAGAACCTATACACATTATTCCAAAAGTTCCTTTCTTTCCTCCTCATACGGTTATTTTGTTCCCTCATCCGTAGAAGCTACTTCATGCATTGTAGCTACTAGCTAGCAGAATAATTAAATAAGTAATCAACAACAAAAAACATGCTGGGAGTTCGAAATCACATGTAGTAGGATTCATATTACACAACGTAGCAAAAAGCATTTCATTAGGGAATAATTAAACATTAGAAACCAGAACGTTTATTTTGAAATAAAATGCCGCGTGGTTAAAATAAGAACCCTGGACCAGAAGTACTCCTCAACACAGGTTTTAAACTAGCAATAATAATAATTTTATATCACAAAAAGTGAAATTAATAACAGAAGCAATAATAATTCTATAGATACAAAGAGAGAGAAGTGTTTGAAATATTACGATCGATTAAAATCATACCTCGTTTAATTTGTCTAGAGTGGTTAGCGCATTTGTTTCTTGTTTAGGTTTCCCGAAGATTCTCGTAAACATCGTGGCTTATAACTTTTGGGAGAAATTGACTTGAATATTTAACCCTGTAAAAAGAAACCAACTAACTCCTCCCGATCAACCCAGCAAAATCGTTGATTTAAAACGAAAGTATATGATGAACCGCAATCGACTGACCTGAGACAACAGGCAATTGAATCGGATCAATTAGTTAGCTTAGACGACTTCCAAATGATCCGACGATCACTCAATTAGGACGCCAACGAGAGCCTTATGAGATTGCTTATGAGGCAGTAACCGCGTGCGGCCTCAGCTTGAGCCTTGGGATTATTAATTTAGAATTATCTCTCTTATTTGAATTTTGGTAATATTTTTTAACAATAGCTTATCCGAGAAGTTATTTCGGGGAATAACTAGAGAGACGTCAGAGCAATAAGTAGAGAGAAGATGTATTCAATATGTGAATTTGTGATCAAGTTGTGTTTTACAATGGGGAAATGGGTTGTTATTTATATCATCGATAAATGCTAGACAGGGACACGTGTCAAGCATCCGACGGCCGAAGGTCACCTCAATCGGGGTGGCACCGATATTTGCATGTGACCGCATTAAATGCGGTGGTTGGATGTGATGTTGTACTTGGTACGGTGATCCAGGCGCATGTGGGAAGGAGATTCTGTCGAGGAGGGTGCCTTCGGCTGAAGGGTGTTGGGCCGAAGGCTCTCCTAACCAGGGGTCTCCTTGTGCCGAGGGTTGTATATGCCGAAGGCTCGGTTTTCACGTCTTGTTCTCCTGTGATGTTTCTGAGCTCGCTTCTGTCAACGGTAGCCTTCGGTCATGGGGCCGAAGGCACCTCCATAGCGTAATGTGGGGTGCTTAGAGCTTCATTTCGCTGGGCTTGGCCCGTTTTGGGCCTGTTGGGCCTGATTGCAGTAGTGGAAGTACGTGGGTCGGGGGTCCCCGGGCCATATACTCCATCAGGAGTCCCTCACTCCTTTTACCGAAAGGTACTTGAGGGAAAAGGAATAAATGTGTTTGTCCTCTGATGTTGGCGTTTGTTTCGTTGCTGTTTGTAGAGTTGTGAGGGGTTTGCGTTGTCTGTCTTACCGAGGGCAGTCCCTCAGTCCCCCACATTTCGGGATTGAAGGATGTTGATGCTCTGGGAGAACTTTTAACATTTTGTGATTTTCCCGAAGGGGTTCCCCAGTTCCCCACTCCTTAAGGCACATGTAATGTGGTGAAAAGGAGTAAAGCAGTGCCTGCCTCCAGTATAGGACTGAGGGCTCGCACTTTTCGTTGCATTTTGGGGGGATGCCTCGTTAAAAACCTTATTAGGAAAAACCCTGTGGGAAAAAATCCTAATGAGGAAAAACGAGTGCACCAAATTCCCCCAATGATGAATCGAAAAGGTGAACCATTGGTCTGAGATGAAGGACAACGTTGATGCCAAGAGGTGTCCGTGATTCAAGGGCATTTTTCTTGGTTAGCCGAAGGCTACCTGTTGATATTACGGGGGACGCCGAGGGGGTTCCCTCAGTTATTGGGCTGAGGGCGTGACGTCATAAGTGATAGTTCTGGTGTTGCCGAGGGCTTCTTCGGTCCTCGATATATTGAGGGCTAAGGGTTCCTGGGGGTATCCATGTTTGTGGTGGGGGCTTACCCTTGATAAAGGAGTCTGAAAGAGTTAGCCCGAAGGCTTGCGTAGTTATTCTCTGAGGTATGCCAGTTGGGATATGACCGTTGGAATATGACCGTTGGAGGTGGCTATCCACATGGCGTGTAGCTGTTGGCTGGCTTCGGGCGAGCGTCACCAGTTGGTTGAAGCGATGGTGTGCAATGATGATTTTTCCATCGGGGACCCGGTTTTTGGCCCAAGCCCGGAGGGGGAAAGCGTTGCGCCTTGAGAAAGCGCAACATGATGAGCAGTTGAAGAAGCTCGTCCATGACAACGCCGACGCCGGGAGGCAGATGGCAGAATTGGAGGAATCCCTTCGGCAGATGGGGCTGCAGCTGGAGGCCGCCAATAAGAGCAAGGTCGAAGCTGAGAGGGCTGCTGCTGAGGCCGCCAAGAAAGCCGCCAAGGAGGCCGAGGAGGCTAAGAACAAGGCAGATGCTGTTTCCCGGGAGGAAGCCGTAGGCGCCTTCATTGTCGAGGGCTGGAGGGCTGAGGGGCGCAAATAGTGGGTGGCCTCGGTCGTGAAGGCATTCGTCGACGAATGGTGTAGCGGCCCCGGTGTAGAGTGGCTGGCCCGGAAGGGCAAGGAGTACTATGATGGGGGTGAGTACTTCACTCAGACCCTCATCTACCGGAGGCTCGCCAGGCATCTGAAGATCGATCCCGCCACGTTCGACCCGTCAGCATATGGCCTCCCCCCCCCTCCAGCCAGACGTCAGAATCCCCGTCCCTACAGATGTCGAGAGGCTGGACCTGTAAGATTTCGTGTTGATGCAGGAGGCAGAGGATGAGGATGAGAAGGCGGGAGGGGATGTGTCTTCAAAGCCCGCTGAAGAGGTTGTTGCCGAAGTAGCTAACCCTTGATGTATTCTTAGATATTTTTGAACAATGTTATGTACAAACATTTGTAGCTTTTAGCTTCGGCCCTAATGTAACAATTTATTCTCCGTTTTGTAAATGAATGCTTGTTCTCCCTTTGTGTTGGTCCCGGTTATACTGGATACAGTCTAGAGGGGGGGTGAATAGATTGTATTGGTTTTTAGCTTTTTAAACTAAGTACCAGATTTTCAGAATAGCCTGTTCTGTTGAAAGAACAGACTGGCAGCGGATGGGGTTCTGGCAGGGAGTTCTGTTAGCCTCAGAGAAGCAAAGGCAGAAGGCCTTCTGTTAACTCGTAGAACCAGTTCTGCTGAACACAGATACCAAGTCCAAGGAGTTATACAGTTCTATCTAAGTGCAAGTATTAAAAGCAGTAAGTAAATGACACCAGGGATTTTTATAGTGGTTCAAGGAACAACTCGTTCCTCTAATCCACTGTTCCACTAAGCTGTAAAAACTGCCGTTTACAAAGCCTTAGTCCTAGCACTTAAGAAGCACTCCACGTCTTCTTCAAGCCTAGATGTGTCCTGGGATGCACTGCCTGGCTTCCTTTAACACTGGTCCTTTCACTGAGTTTCCTTGAAGTATCACCACTTCACTACTCCAGTTATTTGGATGTCCTTCTTGTAGCAAGAAGAGTTTCTGTTGAAACTGAGGTTCCTCCAACTAGCTTCGTTACAAAATATTTGTATGTGAAGAGCTTGAAGAGTTGAAGAACACTTGGAACTTTGCTTGAGTTGGAAAGAGTATTTTTCCAACTTCTGCCTTCTCTTGTAGAGGATACTAAGTTTGAATCTCAAGGAGGCTTTTGCTTTTCAGAGTTTGAATATCTTGCTTGGTTAGCAATGTGATAGCAAGGTTATGGCAAAGTTATCCGGTTGTTCTTCGTAGTGTATCTTTTATACTGAGGTTGTCTTCCCGTTGGAGGAGTAGGAGGACAACTGCATTAAATAAGCGATCAGTTGACTTGACTAGTAGAGCCCGGTAAGGTTGGCGGGTTACTATTTTGGGATAAAGTATTCCTGACATTCCGGCCAATCATCTGCAATTACTCTACGTAGCATGGGGTGCATTAAATGAGCATTTAATGCATGCACTGTAGCTTTTCCGTTTTATACTCCTAGCCGTTGAAGGAATCTTTAAGTTGACTTCCCGGTTTTTTGAAAATCTTCTAAGTGTCAGACCTTCTGGTGTCTTTGTCTGATAGTAGAACAGAGGAGGTCTGGAGCACTTCTGTTGGGAGTATCCAACAGAGACCCATAAGGGTTTCTGTCAGAGTCAATACTAACAGAGGTCCTGAGGACTTCTGTTCTGGAGCAGAGAACCAAAGGTCCTCTGTTTCAATAAAGCCTTAAGAGGCACTTCTGCTCTGGGAGCCCTTCTGTTCTTGAAGCACTTCTGCTCTTGAAGCACTTCTGTCAAGTCGAATACATCTAAGAATTTTACAAAGGAAAATTCTAATACATAATTTCTAAAGGGGTAATCTAAAGTCCTAATTAATATAGCATCATCAAAATCTAATTACAATTATTCCTTACAATTTCCCCCTTTTTTATGATGCCAAAACCCTTTAACTATTTCCAGAGAAGTGCCTTCACCATAAAAATATTAAGTTTAAAAACTTCCATTAAAATCTTGGTGGGCAACTTGGCATAGGAAAATAGTAAGAGTAAGATACATTCAGATAGCAGAATATAACAGAAACAAACAAACACAAACAGAAGGCAAAAAGACAGGAATTTGAGGAAAAGCACTTCAAAGTAAGAAGGCAGAGATGTGATTTTATTAGATAGGTTTTACAGAGTTTAAACCTTACACATTCTCCAGATTAGCTGCCTGTAGAGCTTCTTCCTCTAGTCTTTGAAGCCTGAGCAGTTCTTCATTTATTTCAGCTCTGATTTTGAACAGATTGCCCGACCTTTGATAAGATGCCCATATTGGAGAGAGCTTGCAGTCCAAGTAGTTGAGGACACCTTCATGTACGGTCTTTCCAGGGACAATGTTCTTCTTGTACCATTCTTCTGCTTCTTCAAGAGATCCTCCATACCTAACTCTGACAACACCATCTTTGTCTAGATAAAGGTGCTGTTGTTGGGTAGGAGTCATTTTAGCTTTCATTTCCTCAAATTGGGCTCTGTCAATATTCTGAGAGCCACCCAATCTCCATTCAGTAAAGTTGAAAACTTTCTTCTTCTTGGTGCTCTTCTTGACTGGAGATGGGGGTCTTGGTATGCCTGCTGCTCTTTTCTTTTGTAAGGCAGCCTCAAAGTAGGGAGCCGGATCTACTGCAGGCTCACCAGAGGAGGGTGCTCTGGTAGGAGTTCTGTGAGACCTAGGCCTGGTCTGTTGAGGGTCCTCTTCCCCCTTTTTGGCATCATTCAAGTCTTCTATCATAAGACTGATCTTCTGGAATTCTGATGCTTGGGTTGAGGCTATCTGCTCCAGGGCCTCTGGTAGTGTCTGGGTGACAGAGGTAAGGCCTTCAATCAGACCTTGCTGCTTCTGGATGGCAGAGAAGATGTCTTTGTTGTTGGCTTCAAGGAGCACCATCTTCTGATATCGGTCTCTGTCAGTAGATAGGAGGGCTTGGGCCTGTTCTTGATGAGTTCTGCACATTTGCTCAATAGAGGTCAGGTGCCTCTCAGTTCTGGCATCAGATTTCTTCAGAGCCTCAAGATGCTCTGAGATATGGTGGATTGCCTGTCCTTGACTCAGGAGAGTCTGCTGAAAGATTGACAAAGTGTTGTGGATGCCTACCACTTCTGTTGACAGGACATCTGTTCTGGCAGTTGAGGAGGCGATGAAGTTGTTGAGTGTCCCAGTGAGGTTCTCAAAGCGGTCAGAGATGAACTGCATCCCTGAATTCAGATTGTCATTCACATGAGCAAGATGCCCATAGTG